ATATGATAAAAAAGAGGAATATTGAGTCGATCCGGAGGTGGGCTCAGTTTATGAAGCATGATAAGAAGTGCGAAAGTGGGTTTGAATAAGATGAGCCCAGAGGGGGACAACATTCAAAAGGGAGAACAAATGAAAGTGAAGTGATAATGCTTGAATTTTCTGGGTGTCACAATTGAGAAATGTTGGTTTTGTTGTGTCGAACTAGTCAGAGCACAACTCCTGTTTTAAATTACTTTGGGATGGAGTGGAGAAAAGTTGGAGAATAAACCCATCAAGAGAACCTCCCACTCATGCTTTTTTTTCCCCACTGCACAGTCAGCTTGCAGCGCTTCAAAATAGCACCGTTAGAAAACCACACCCGATTGAACGCATCAATCAGAGCGTGCCACAAAAAACATACAAAAACAATGTTGCAGAACGAGACTCTCCTATACTAATTTTATTTCAGGAGACTGCATTCTTCACTAGTCTAAATATGGTATTCTGATTCATTTATTTTCATTTATTTTTAAGAGCCCTCTGGAAATATGACAGTTTTTGAGGTGGCTGTCCTGTCCTCTCCTGGTTTATGCAAGTGACGCATTGTTCACCCGCCCCCGGGTACAGTTTTGACCATGGCCATTAAGTCTAGGGGCGGAGCTAATAGTTGACAAGTTGTGCTCAAGCCCACAATCAGATACAGTGGTGCCTTGAGACACAACTAACTAACTACATTCAAGGCACTTGTATCTCAAATCACCTTTATCCACTGAAATGAATGGAAATGCAATTAATACATTCCAGTTCCCCCAAAACAACCACCATTTGTTTGTTTTGTAGTCTTCTTCATGAACATTCAAAAACAGAAGAAATACAAAGTACTTGTATCTCAAGGCACCACCACTGTATTGGCGTCAACTTCACTCAGTTGTATTTCTCACTAATAGAAGCGGCATCATCATCATCGCAAAACCACAAAATTACAAACACACAACCTGCGTATAAAAAAAAAAAAAAATCACTTTTCCATGACACATCCTCCGTAAATAATCGATGCATGTTATGCACCAAACACAACATTCACAATGATGGCACTAATTTAGAATTGAGAAGTAGGGAATAAAAAGGTAACACTGCAGTCGAAGTAAGGGGATACGACAACAGTGTTCTGAGCCGATAATGATAATGATAGAAGACGAAAACGAGAGTGACAGAGATTCGGGAAGGTGGAATGACACCCAAGGGATCAGCGGGACAGTCACAGCCGCGCTCATCCGTCTCCAGGACACCAGCAAGTAGCACGGCTGCGACTTGACAAATAGAGCGAGTCTGACGGGGAATTGAACATGACATGATGACCAGTCTCGTGTGACTGGCGTCATCCACACAGACGACAGACGACAGACACACACAGATATTATTTTTCGTGACGGGAATCGATTAGTGAGGACAATGAAGAAATGAAGCACATCTGCCTCTCTGTGCAGAGGTGCAGGGTTTGAATTCCAGCTCCGGCATTCCTGTGTAGCGTTTGCGTATTCTGCCCGTGCCTGTGTGGGTTTTCTCCGGGTACTCCGGTTAGTTCCCACATTCCAAAAACCTGCGTGGCAGGTTAATGGAACACTATAAATTGTCTCTAGGTGTGATTGTGAACGCGAACGGTTGTAAAAAGCTCCAAAATTCCCCTGAGACCACAATCCATGAAAAGGACAGACAGCTTATTAGCGTCAGTCCGTCCACAGTTTGCGCCGAGCAGCGCTTTGTTGGAAAATGTTTATGACGGGCGCACGAATGCACGATGGTGAGTGTGGATTAGACGCGTGTCGAGAAGATGAGGTGTGGACTTGGCTGAGCCAGTGAGACAGAAGCGCTGATGTGTACTGCCATTGAAAATAGACCAGACAGACAGCTGAGCAGCTGTGACCTCACGTCACCCCAACTCTCACTTACACTCGCTGACAGTATCCTTGCCATACGCACACCAGAAGTGTCAAAAGTACTCACACTTTGGACTTGAAGACCCTGTAAAGTAAAACCAGAGATGAGTTTCTACTGTACAAATATAACATGGTTGATGAAAATGCCCTAACACTGAGAATCATGTAATAAATACAAAATTGTGGAGGTATGGCATTAATCTGTTTTTCCCCCATTTAACGTATCCAGATTTTTTTGTGAGGGGCATTGTCAAAATGGGGTCCAGTGATGCACTTGGGTCCATCATGAGCACCGCTGCCCCACTACAAAGGAACTTGAGCACCTTTGTTCGCATCGGTGGTTATCCGAAGCAAATGCGAGTTGCTTCGTTTTAACTACTCGGTTGATTTGTACAACTACAGCATGCAGTTAGCAAGCTAGCTATGCTTGCACCGCTCCCTGGATGCCGCAGGCTGAAAAATGCGTGGCTCTGGATTTAATAAACGGTTGACTTTCCATATGTGTGTCTCTGTTTGTGGGTGAGAAGCCATCGGCTAAATTGCAAGCTAACGGGTGTCCTGTGAGCATACGAGCTAGCTGATGGCTAGCACCTTGTGGAGGCATAAAAAGATGCTATAGATATAGTGGTATTTGATTGACAGTTGAGCAGGGTTTGGTTTTTATCACATTCAGCAGACACAAAACTGTAAACAATGGTTAGATTTAAAAAAAAAAAACATTTTATGTAGTTGGCGCTCTAGGGAGTCAAATAAAGCACAGAGACCTGAAACATCAAATTTAGTATAATAATGAAGTATTTGTATTTTGTTACTTCCCACCACTGATGCACACTTACACACACACTAACGGCCATTGTGTGTTTCAGCCTGCGACATAATTTACAGCCATTAAATATTTGTGTCGCGTTGAGAAAAATATCAAGTTAATGGAAGACACATTGCTTTTGGGTTTTGCTTTGGGGACAAAAACAGTTCGATTCCATCTCTGGCAAGGGCAAGGCACGATATCCTCGCACGGGACACTTTTTGCTGTCGTCTGCAGCTGGCCAGACGGCCGAGGCACGAAATAAACTCCAAGGGATCAAATGCAGTCTGCATACTCGTGGAAGTCTGCGAGTGTGGGACCGGTTGGATGAAATCACTGGTATTGGGGCAGATATTCGGAGAAGCGTGCGGCCACTGTCCGCTCTGCCAGGAAAGTGACATTAGTTATTTGCACTGATAGGCTGATGATAAAAACAGTGTGGGTGTGGTGGAGGCTTTAAGTGCCTCTGTCGCCTGAAGTGGAGCCATCAAATTCTTTTCTTTATACTGATGATAGGGGGAAAAAAAAAATCCAGCGTGAACTGTTCTAAATCTGCAGTAAGCAATAAATGGACCTGAAACCGCAATTCCAGGACGTTGGTTCATCTCTAATTCCGTTGGAATTGAAAAAGATTTTCCACATAGGAATGAAAGATAATACAAATAATTGTATTAACTATTCCCAATAGTACATTCTCTTTAGGGCCTTCCAAATATGTAGCGCTGACCCATGTCCAGTCATTTAAACTAGATTAATCATTGAGTGTTTCTTTTCAAATTTGTCTCCAAGGGCCAGCGAGCCGGCCCACAAATCATGTCAGCATTTTCCCATTCACTGATTGGTTAGTCAGAGCAAGCCAAGTTCCACGGGCACATCCGCCGCGATTTGCACACGTTAATCGATTTAATCAAAATCTTCGATGAGTACGAGTATTTTATTGAGATGGTTTACCTTGTTGTCATGTTACTTGAGAAATATGGATTCTGCACTTCCCGAAATTATGTACGCGGTGAAGTTACATGCTGTCAAAATGTGTTTTCATTTAGTATTAATAGTTTCTAAAATTGCTATGTGATGGTGTTAAGAGATGGATTAAATTGGTTCAGGCAACACCGAAGGCCCAGCTGCCAAACGCACAGACAGCCACTGGTGTTCGGTAACAGCTGAACATTCTTTACGGCCATACATGTGGACACTCTATGACTGAATAATGTTTTGAGTGTAAAAAATAAATAAATAAATAAATAAATAATTAAGGTTATACACAAATTTCAAATGTGAGGCCACGTTCAGCAGCTAAGCCATCGTGCTAGGTAGGTAGCTAGCGAATAGCTACTGTTAGCTGATTAGCATTTACATGTTAAGACTGTTTCTGGCTACAACGTAATAATGAATCACAATTATGTGATATTATGATGTGTTGTGTTGGATTACTACAGTGTACAGTACTGAAATAAATTACAATTTATACTCTACAGACAGTGTCGGAGCAAACAACAACAACAACAACAAAAGCAATACAAATTGTTTTGGATCTCTGAAATCACGACTACTTTAAAGACTAGCATTTTAAATACAGCATGGGAGCCTTGTTATATCCCAAAGTAGTTGTTTGTTGACATTCTAATATTTTGTGTTATTGTTTTATTATTGCTGACAGCATGGACAGCTCGGTAAAGTTTCCCAGGAACGAACTGGTCAACTCCATGTCAGCTTAGGGCCACGAGCGATGCCTCTGTCAGTGCTCAAAACTCCAGCAGATTCTATTTCTGCTGCAAAGACAGACCGATATGTTTAGCACGGAAGCCTCTCGGATGCAAATAGAGAAGGTTAGACAGGGCAGCCTGCCCTGCATACACAATCATGACTCTTCAGCTGTCGGGATGTACTGAAACGGTAGTAGTGACCTACTTAATTACGATCCATAATGAGGTTTTTCTACTTTTTTTTTAAACTTTTACGAACTATATTGGAAAGAAGTTATCCGTACTTGTGATTCCTTACTTTGTCAAAATAGAATGATTCATCTTCCATCAGCTAATTATGATTATTTTTTTCCGTTACTCATTTAATGCAATTGTGGTCTTTCTCACAGCAGATTTGACAAAGCTCGGACATTCACTCGTTCTGTGCTTGTTTTTTGTTTTGTTTTTCTGTTAAGTGGCTAGAATTTTGTTTTTTTTTTTATCTGAGGTGGAGAGCGGCCAAAAGAGCAAAGCAAATAAATTTGCACTTAAAAGAAAAAAAAAATAAATGCAATAAGAAGAATCAAAGCAAGATAAGTGACTTAAATCTGTACATTTATCCACATGCGACGATATATGACGGTGAGTGATCTGTAGGACATGGAGAAAGAATTCAGTACTGGTGAATGGAACAGAATTTGACACATTTTCGACTTGCAAGTAGCCACATTGCTCTTATGCCTGAAGTGTCATTGACTCCATCTTACAAAATGTATTTGCATCGACATCAAATGAAAGACACTATCCGTTTTCCCTCGGAATCACAGACCAACATATGCCCAAGAGCGCTGAAATGTCAGCTCCAGCTTTAATACGGTATTGGCGTCGTCGCGCTGACCATACATTCATTTACATCACACGTGCTTCACTTTCCAACAACAGTGGCAACATTTACACAAGAAGGCAAGCGGGATGGGAGGCATTGTAAAAGGAGAGCAGCTTGCTTGTTCGGCTTCTTCTGCGCAGAGACAAATACGGATTTGACTTGTAATCTATTGGATTTGCGAGGAACGTTCGGCATTAGGGCGGGTGAGGCGGGGGGGGGCATTACTGTTATCGTGACTGAAAGAAAAACATTTCTGGCATTAGAACGGGACACACAATGAAGTCATTAAGAAAGGGCGAGCACAATGGCTGCCAATGTGCTGAATCCGGCAAGAGAGGAACCAAACATTTAAAAAGGTATCGGAACACGATTGGGCTGAATGTGCACTAACATGGTTGACGACGATCTGATTTTAAAGTATTTTTCCTGCTACTTTCTTTCTCAGTTATGTATGCACACTCATGGCCAACAACGAGGCACTCTAAAGCATCATGTCTTGACTTACATTTTTTTTTTTTTTGTCCGAACATCCAGCATTCTGGAATTCATGAAATAGTGAATTCACTTTACAGGGTCGTTAAGTGATTCTACGACAGTCCGAAATTTAGGGCACATTACTACAAAAATGTTTCGGACAGCGATCCTGCTCATAGTAACAGTTTGGACAACATGCGTTTCCACAAGCCAACACACGAGAGAAGATGCACGCAAAACATTCATCAAATCAAATGCCATACCGGCTTTCTTTCCACCTTCTTAAAGTCACCACTTTCTGTTTTGCATAGAAATGATATCCCGGTATATTCAGAGCAGATGAGCATTGCAATCCATTTAAACAGCTCATAAAGCTCCATTAGCCACTAAGAGCTTTACTCTGACTCTGAACCTCAAACACTCTGTCAGATCATTCCACCGCTATAAACGTACTTACTATAAACAGCAAGTCGCACGTGTGCGAGGGCGCTCACCTGCACAAGCGTTCACATTCTAATCGGAGCCAAGATACACAGTCGTTAGAGGATATCAAATCTGGTGTTCTCGGTCAGACGCCTGGAACCAATTTCTCAATCTAGCATGCATTCCGTAATCCTCACACAGGAAATATGTTTTCAAATGAATTCTCCTTGCGGGGGCAGAAGATGATGCAGTGGTTTGCGATGGCAAAATGAAAGGTAGAAAAACAAAAGAGAATTAAAGTGTATGCAAATTGGCAGCAAGTGTAAGCCTCTGTATACAGTCCTCACTAAAATTCCAAAGGGTGCGTCTTTAAGAGTGAACGGACGCGAGTCTCGACCATTTCAGAGACGGCAAAGCCCAGAGGAAGCAGCGGGGATTTTGTTTGGAGTGTGCGTGTTCACGGGAATCGCTTTTAACAAACACACACGGGCAAGCTCCACAACAAGACGGTCTCGAAAGGGGAGAATCGCCGCCTGGAGGTTGTCGTCTATTCCCCCTTCCGTCATCCAACAGGATGGAGGAGTTGAAAAGTGATGTGTGTGTTGAATGTTAAAGTCAGTCTGCAGTTTTTTTTTTGTTTGTTTTTCTTTTTGTAGACATCAGAATAAAGTCCACTGTGAGCAAAGTGCAGCGAGGAGCAGTGCGAGGCTGCAGGGTCCTGGCCAGCTGTTCGATGGGGAACCTCCTATCACTCGCACTGACGGGGCCTTGGCTGGATTCTGCTTCGGAACATTCAGTTCAGGCCCGATGGATCCAACTTCACTGGAGCCTTTTGTGTGTACTGTCGGCACAAAAAATGAGAGAAAGAGAAGATTATTCATGTGGAAAGAGTTGAGCATTAGGACAAGGAATGGGCGAGTACCGATACAAGTTTTATTTAAGGTATCGAAAGGCCAAAGAGGCTGCCGATACCAGTCACTGATACTTAATTCAAAGATAATCTGACACCGAGTACGTCCTCCTCGGCAGTTGATGGCGCTACTGCGGCAGTCTGAGACATTGGTGAATTATGATCTAGGTCAAAAAGAAAGGTTTCGTTTCAAAAGAAAGGTGTTAGCATTAAGCTAGCGGACCTAAAATTTGGGTGGTTGTTTCAAATCCTTTGTTTCATCTTTCGTTTGACAGTAAACTTGAAGTAGGAGTCACGTTAAACAGCTTGAAGCGTCTTTTTTGTCACATCAACCCTATCCTCAAGTTGTGATGCACCAAAGGTCTTCAGTTCAGTTCTTCTCCACCAAAGCCACCAATCATACCTTCACAGACCTTGCTTTGATGCGCAAGAATCAGGAAGAAGCCTTCCCCTAACGGTTCTCCCAACGTCAGCGGCATAGAGTTGCGCTAAGACGACCAATCAAAACAGAGGCTCAACTCCTGACTGATCGATTGCTTGATTTACGGGTCGTCTCCGTCAACAGAAAAAAACCCGGCTTCATCACTAACGCTAACAAGGCCGAGCAAACGTTGCATAAGCCTTTGAAAAGGGAGGAAAATATATCAAGGAGTGCCGATCCCAAAGGATTTTGGGAGGAAAAACAAGCAACGGCCAGATAAATGATTGCGATGCATTGTGTCAGGGGGGCCGACTGTTTTAAAAGAGACTAATCTGCCACTGTTGGCAAAATGAGGTCAAGATTTCAGTTGATCCCACTCAACGCGAATGAGCCAACTCTCTCAAGATGGATGTGATTGTGAAGTAAATCGACTGTGACCTTACAAGGCCTCGCCGGTGGAGTTACGAGAACGCGGTTGTGACATCTTGAAATCCCACCTTGCCAAGTTTCAACTCGCAACGACTGCCGATGCTCTGACCACCCGGAAGAGAAAGAAGCAACAAATGTGAGTTGGATATCACAACAAATGTCGATTCTTTTTTTTTTTTCCCTCCCATATCATCCCCACACCTCTGTTGTGCATTTGAGCTCAGGGCTCGGCCATCTCTAAAGAGAGTGAATTGTTTCCAGCTTACGTTTTTGTTTTTTTCCAGGTTGACAATAGACAAAGACGCCGTTCATCCCGAATCTGATTGCGCTTATTGTTCTCGGCGAAACCGGGCTGCATCTCATCAGGATCGAGAAGAATGGAGTTGAAATATGCTAAATCACTGCATGTTAACCAGCTGGCTAATTACGGCGACAATTTGTGCCAGAACGAGCAATTACCTCGAAGGCAATATAATCCTGCCAGCCAGTTGAAGTGTTCATTTCCTCGTGGCGAATACACGCCGCAGCAAAGCTTTGTCAACCTCAACTTGAACCTCAATTGCAAGCAATTAAATTGAGTGACGAGGAGGCGGGCCAATGCTAACTAAACTGTCCGAGACCAACTCCCGTTCACAGCTGTTCAAACTACGAGATTCGCGATAAGGCACTTGACGCCATTTGCACCACCGAGAAGAATTTACGCAGTCTAAACCCAGCATGCTTGAGTCCTGTTCACAGCCAGTTCGACGTCACAGCCGGGAGAGCGAATGTTCAGCCACCTTTGCGACAATAATATCATACGCGCAAAACATATGCAATCTTTCCGAATTCGACAGTGGCGATTCTCCTTGAACCAGTCGACCAACTGCAGTTTATATGATGCACGCTTTTATTACTGTTACGCCATTAGTGATTAAACCAGATGGATGATCAATTAAATTGACACCTGCGTGAATGTAAAATTAAGCGCCGTAACCGAACAATTAAGTCCCTAAATATACGCAAAGGTGCAACGGCAAACATCGGGGGGGGAAGGGGGGGGGGGGAGTGGCGATTCTCCTTGAACCAGTCGACCAACTGCAGTTTATATGATGCACGCTTTTATTACTGTTACGCCATTAGTGATTAAACCAGATGGATGATCAATTAAATTGACACCTGCGTGAATGTAAAATTAAGCGCCGTAACCGAACAATTAAGTCCCTAAATATACGCAAAGGTGCAACGGCAAACATCGGGGGGGGAAGGGGGGGGGGGGGTCATGGAATGGGATAGAAAGAGAAGATTATTCATGTGGAAAGAGTTGAGCATTAGGACAAGGAATGGGCGAGTACCGATACAAGTTTTATTTAAGGTATCGAAAGGCCAAAGAGGCTGCCGATACCAGTCACTGATACTTAATTCAAAGATAATCTGACACCGAGTACGTCCTCCTCGGCAGTTGATGGCGCTACTGCGGCAGTCTGAGACATTGGTGAATTATGATCTAGGTCAAAAAGAAAGGTTTCGTTTCAAAAGAAAGGTGTTAGCATTAAGCTAGCGGACCTAAAATTTGGGTGGTTGTTTCAAATCCTTTGTTTCATCTTTCGTTTGACAGTAAACTTGAAGTAGGAGTCACGTTAAACAGCTTGAAGCGTCTTTTTTGTCACATCAACCCTATCCTCAAGTTGTGATGCACCAAAGGTCTTCAGTTCAGTTCTTCTCCACCAAAGCCACCAATCATACCTTCACAGACCTTGCTTTGATGCGCAAGAATCAGGAAGAAGCCTTCCCCTAACGGTTCTCCCAACGTCAGCGGCATAGAGTTGCGCTAAGACGACCAATCAAAACAGAGGCTCAACTCCTGACTGATCGATTGCTTGATTTACGGGTCGTCTCCGTCAACAGAAAAAAACCCGGCTTCATCACTAACGCTAACAAGGCCGAGCAAACGTTGCATAAGCCTTTGAAAAGGGAGGAAAATATATCAAGGAGTGCCGATCCCAAAGGATTTTGGGAGGAAAAACAAGCAACGGCCAGATAAATGATTGCGATGCATTGTGTCAGGGGGGCCGACTGTTTTAAAAGAGACTAATCTGCCACTGTTGGCAAAATGAGGTCAAGATTTCAGTTGATCCCACTCAACGCGAATGAGCCAACTCTCTCAAGATGGATGTGATTGTGAAGTAAATCGACTGTGACCTTACAAGGCCTCGCCGGTGGAGTTACGAGAACGCGGTTGTGACATCTTGAAATCCCACCTTGCCAAGTTTCAACTCGCAACGACTGCCGATGCTCTGACCACCCGGAAGAGAAAGAAGCAACAAATGTGAGTTGGATATCACAACAAATGTCGATTCTTTTTTTTTTTCCCTCCCATATCATCCCCACACCTCTGTTGTGCATTTGAGCTCAGGGCTCGGCCCTCTCTAAAGAGAGTGAATTGTTTCCAGCTTACGTTTTTGTTTTTTTCCAGGTTGACAATAGACAAAGACGCCGTTCATCCCGAATCTGATTGCGCTTATTGTTCTCGGCGAAACCGGGCTGCATCTCATCAGGATCGAGAAGAATGGAGTTGAAATATGCTAAATCACTGCATGTTAACCAGCTGGCTAATTACGGCGACAATTTGTGCCAGAACGAGCAATTTCCTCGAAGGCAATATAATCCTGCCAGCCAGTTGAAGTGTTCATTTCCTCGTGGCGAATACACGCCGCAGCAAAGCTTTGTCAACCTCAACTTGAACCTCAATTGCAAGCAATTAAATTGAGTGACGAGGAGGCGGGCCAATGCTAACTAAACTGTCCGAGACCAACTCCCGTTCACAGCTGTTCAAACTACGAGATTCGCGATAAGGCACTTGACGCCATTTGCACCACCGAGAAGAATTTACGCAGTCTAAACCCAGCATGCTTGAGTCCTGTTCACAGCCAGTTCGACGTCACAGCCGGGAGAGCGAATGTTCAGCCACCTTTGCGACAATAATATCATACGCGCAAAACATATGCAATCTTTCCGAATTCGACAGTGGCGATTCTCCTTGAACCAGTCGACCAACTGCAGTTTATATGATGCACGCTTTTATTACTGTTACGCCATTAGTGATTAAACCAGATGGATGATCAATTAAATTGACACCTGCGTGAATGTAAAATTAAGCGCCGTAACCGAACAATTAAGTCCCTAAATATACGCAAAGGGGGGGAAGGGGGGGGGGGCTAATGGAATGTGATGTCGCCGTAATGACAATGTTAGCAGATTGATACACGCTTCATCGAGCTGGCTCATACGATAATGGCGAAAATACGGGGAGGGAAAGGATGGGGAGAAAGCAGAAGGCAGGCTCGATGGTTAGAAGAGCAAAAACAGTTTTGATTTGCTTCTTAGCGCCAGACTGAATATCCATCATCGAGGCAGATGGAATCAATCAATTCAAGGATATGCGGTGGCACACAGAGACCCTTTTAAAATTTCGCAGAATTCGCAGACTCCGTGTCTCTGAGAATGAATAAGGAAGCGGCGGTTGCATCAGTTACTGAATTATGAATGAAGTACTGTGTGATGGAGGGGCGACAAGGCGATGCGTTGCGATGATGACGTCGAGTACAATGTGCAGGATGTCGTGTTGGCAACTTCTTTGCGAGAAATTGTTGGGTGTACTTTGAACGCCGGCATGCCTTTTTCTGTTTTAATTCACCTCCCGTTCGATCAGCGCAGAGCAAACCATTCAGAGACCAACTCCGCTAGGACGAGTGCAAAATTAAGCTAGCAAGTCACCGTACCTGTGCGTAAGCCATTCTGTATATTGCGCCATTCTGAGAGAGGGCGTGAGGTCATTTCAACCATGATTATAGGAGAGCGTGCAAAGTATGCTGAAGTTGTCGATGTAGCAAGCCGACGTCGGACGTCTGGCAGTGGGTTGAGCGTCGCTGAGCGCTGTTGGCCGGGTGTGGCTCGAACCGTCGGTGGGCCATTTTTGAGTTGAATTGGGGTTCAATTATCTTGATAATGGATGAATTGTTCAGAGAACTTTTTAATTTAAAATTGCCCAGATCCTTGGAATTTGGGCTTTCAACAGGAAATATTTTTAGATTTTCGTAGT